TTTAATGGGTATATAAGCAATTGCTCTTCTTCTAGCTCTTAAAGAGTTGAGAATAAGGCAAGCCTCGCGCCGTCGTCGTCGTCGCTCGCTCGGCTTCGGCTTCGGCTTCGGATTCGGTCAAATGATCGATTGATTGATTAATTTTTTGGACCAAATTTGTTTGTCAATAGTAAATATTAACAGAAATATTATTAAATATCCGTTTTAGTAACAAAATATTAATATTAAATCCAAGAATATTAATATTAAAATCCAAACGTTTCCATTTTTCCATTTTCTGTTTTGGTAACAGAAAATTAATTACCCTCTTCAATTTTCCCTCTTTATTATTGAGTAAATAGCCATTTATGTTATGGCATTTATGCTGTGGCAGTTCTGCATAAACAGCCATTCTAAAGAGTTGCACCTCTTCAGATTTCAGCCCAACATTGGCTATAAGTACAAGTCCATTCTCTCAGAATTTCCATACGATTTTCTGAGTTTCTCCTCCTCCTTCTGCATTGTTTTAACTTCAAAAAAAAAGCAACAGTAAGTGTGATTTGCTACCGAACTTTGTGTTCGCTGAAACACTGGGGTTTNCAAATTGAATTATTTTAAAGTGAGGGGGTGTTTGGCAAAAGTGCAAGTTTCTAAACCCAAAAGGGTAAAAATAGGATCGAAAACCGTTGATTGTGTTTTCATAGGATATGCGACTAATAGTAAAGCATATCGATTTCTGGTTCATAAATTAAAAAATCCCGACATTCATAATAATACGGTTATAGAATCAGATAATGCTGAGTTCTTTGAAAATATATATCCGTATAAAAAGGAATGTGAGTCGATTGGTGAAGGATCTAAACGACCTCGGGAAGAAACAAAAGAAAGTACACTTAACCATGAGGATCCAAGACATAGTAAACGTCAAAGAACGTCTACTTCATTTGGACCAGATTTTGTGACTCTCTTATTGGAAAATGAGCCTCAAACTTTTAAAGAGGCTATGTCTTCTTCGGAATCATTGTTATGGAAAGAGGCAGTCAATAGTGAAATAGAATCCATCTTGAACAACCATACATGGGAATTGGTTGATCTTCCTCCTGGAAATAAACCGTTGGGTTCTAAATAGATCTTTAAGAGGAAAATGAAAGATGATGGCACTATTGACAAATATAAGGCAAGACTTGTGGTCAAAGGGTATAGACAACGAGAAGGTCTTGACTATTTTGATATATACACTCCAGTTACAAGAATTACGTCCATACGAATGTTAGTAGCATTAGCTGCAGTTTATGGTCTTGAAATTCATCAAATGGATGTTAAGACGACCTTCTTAAATGGAGAGTTGGAGGAAGAAATATACATGGAACAACCTGAAGGGTTTGTGGTTCCAGGTAAAGAAAGGAAGGTCTGTAGACTTGTTAAGTCCCTTTACGGACTAAAACAAGCACCCAAACAATGGCATGCGAAATTTGACCAAACAATGTTGTCAAATGGATTTAAGATAAATGAATGTGATAAATGTGTGTACATTAAAAATGTTCCAAATCACATAGTCATTGTTTGCTTATATGTGGATGATATGCTCATAATGAGTAATGACATTGCCAACATAAATGCTACTAAGCGTATGCTAACTAGCAAGTTTGATATGAAAGACTTGGGAGTTGCTGATTTAATTCTGGGAATTAAGATCCATAAGACTTCTCAAGGTCCGGCGTTGTCACAATCTCATTATATTAAGACAGTACTTGAAAAATTCAAGCACTTGGGCTTTAAAGTTGCAAAGACTCCAATTGACGTGAATCTTGCATTAGCAAAGAACAAAGGCAAAAGCATATCACAATTGGATTATGCTCGTGTGTTGGGTTGCTTAATGTACATCATGAATTGTACACGACCAGATATAGCTTGTGCTATAAGTAAATTGAGTCGATATTCGAGCAATCTAGGTCAATCTCATTGGATGGCCATGAAATGAGTTTTGGGGTATTTAGTACATACCCAGGACTTTGCTTTGCACTACAGTAAATATCCTACGGTCATTGAGGGATATTGTGATGCAAATTGGATCACCGGATCAACTGATTCCAAGTCCACAAGTGGATATATATTCACTATTGGTGGAGGAGCGGTATCTTGGAAATCGTCCAAACAAACTTGTATTGCCCGCTCTACAATGGAGGCTGAGTTCATAGCCTTGGATAAAGCCTGTGAAGAACCTGAATGGCTCCGGAATTTCTTGGAAGATATTCCATTTTGGCCCAAATCGTTGGCACCAATATGCATACATTGTGATAGTCAAGCGGTAATTGGAAGGGCTGGGAGCGTTATGTATAACGGTAAATCTCGTCATATACGACGAAGACATAAAACCATTAGACAATTACTCTCTAGAGGAATTATCACGATTGACTATGTAAAGTCAAGTGATAATGTGTCGGATCTACTTACAAAAGGCCTAACTAGAGAGGTAGTTGAGAAGTCATCCAGGGGAATGGGACTGTGGCCGAGAACAAGTCATATTGGCGGTAACTCTACCTAGAAGACTGGAGATCCCAAGATCTAGGTTCATGGAGATCAAACAAAGTCATTAATGACGGTTCAACATTGTCAACTAAATTTTTGGTCCATTCTCGTGATGAGACAATGTTCAGTACCAAGGATAAAACATTAAGGTTTTTTAATGATTTCTAATTTTGATACGGGGTATATCAAATAGTGTATCTACGGGATGACACGTCTAGAAATCACCTATGTAAGTGTGAAGTGTTAGCCGCTTCAAGGAGAACTTTGTAAGGCCAGTTCTCTACGCACTTATGAAACCAAGCGGTGTTCATGGCTGAAACACACACAATAATGAGAACCAAAGACGGTTAAGGGTTGGTTGTGTGACTTGTGGTTGTCTAGGTATACACCAAAGTTCGACGGTTCAAAGATATCAAATCTACCGATTGATCGAGTATATCCGACATAAGTTCACTACGGAAAGCTCAAAGGGAAACCTACTTATCCAGATGCAATTAATCCTTACTTGCGAATCACACAGTTTTTCATGCATACTTCCGTGATATAGCCACTCCCCATTCATGTGGGGGATTGTTGGGTTTTTTATGTATTTAATTAATATATTAAATACTTAAAAGAGAGTGAATGGGAAATGGAGGGAAATAAAATTTTTGAGTGAAATTTTAAGTTTCCCCCCTTGGTAAATGGACATTGTCCCATATTGGAAGAGGAAGAGGTTTTTTATGGGTATATAAGCAATTGCTCTTCTTCTAGCTCTTAAAGAGTTGAGAAGAAGGCAAACCTCGCGCCGTTGTCGTCGTCGTCGCTCGCTCGCTCGCTCGGCTCGGTTCGGCTTCGGCTTCGGCTTCGGCTTCGGATTCGAATTCGGATTCGGATTCGGATTCGGATTCGGATTCGGATTCGGATTCGGATTCGGATTCGGATTTGGTCAAATGATCGATTGATTGATTAACTTTTTGGACCAAATTTATTTGTTAATAGTAAAATATTAATAGAAATATTATTAAATATTTGTTTTAATAATAGAATATTAATATTAAATCCAATCCGTTTTTCTGTTTTGGTAACAGAAAATTAACTACCCTCTTCAATTTTCCCTCTTTATTTTCCTTCTTTATTGTTGAGTAAATGCTCATTTATGTAATGGCATTTATGCTGTGGCCGTTTTGCATAAACAGCTATTCTGAAGAGTTGCACCTCTTCAGATTTTAGCCCAACTTTGGCTATAAATACAACGCTATTCTGCTCAGAATTTGACTACGAATTTATGAGTTTCTTCTCCTTCTTCTGCATACTTTTAGCATCAATCAAAGCAAAAATAAGTGTGATTTGCTACCGAGCTTTGTGTTCGCTGAAACACTGGGGTTTGAAGTACCACTACACCAGTGTGTAATTCGTTCTATCCTGGGAGGAAATAATCCATAACCTTGGGTACTAGGAGGGGATTAAATTCCTTAAGGAAACACTGTGAATTCAGTAGGCTCGAATTGGTTTTCTGTTATTTCTGTTTAAATTCATTTATATTTCTAGAATTATTTTATAAATACAATATACTAACAAATACATGAACAAATAAGATAATTATTTTCAGAACTTTTGTTTCTTTTACTATACCCCCTATCCCTTGATCGATTAGATGATCCTAAGGTTGTCACAACCCAATATTGATGCCACTTATTATTCGCTTTAATTCAATAAATCTCACGGATTTATCTTTGGACTCAGCGGCAAAGCTAGCTTGTGGCAAGTGGTTCAATTGAATCCTTTTGCCGGAAAATTATGTTCATAAACATATAGATAAATTTTTTCTTTTGTTACATATAAATTGTTGAATCTCGTAAACATAGGAATATTTTTTATTTCAGTGGCAAGGGGTTTTTTTGGTATGACATTTTATTATTTTTGAATCCCCTTGTATGATTTCTAGCTCCACCACTGCTTAAATTACGCCATTATCTAGCCTAGAAGTACATATATCATGTGAACTTGTGGATTGTCTATCTACGCCCAGGAAATCACTTTGCACTATGTGGGTGTTTGGACATAAGAATTGTAAAATTTTGGAAAAAAAAATAATTTTTTTTATCAAGTAAAAATGATATTTAAAAATTAGAGTTGTGTTTAGACATGAATATAATTTTGGGCTGTTTAATTTTTGTGAGTGAAATGGAGTGAAAATTTTGAAATTTTTAAATTTTCTAAAATATCCTAAATTCATCTTCACCCAAATTAGTCACCCAAAGCCAGAAAGGGCAAATCCGTCAGTATGCAACCACTAGTTCGAAAAGGCAATTTCCTAAAGTGGGAAGTTAATTTTTAATTGCAAGGCCACACGCGTCAGCAATCTATACGAATGAGGAAACTTTTGGTACGAGTCTGACCTATAATAAATCAATTGGCCAATATAATTTCTCCACGTGGCATCCAGGCACACAAAACCAATATCGTTTTTACAAAACCCAACGAGAATAGCGGTTTTTGGGAGACGCCCTAACGCCCCACCCCTTTAGACCTACCCACCCCTCCGCCCTCGCCATTTTCATATATAGAAACACTTTCCTTATATAGGCAAATTCAATCAGAAGACTGACCCAAAGCGAGGATTGTGAAGCCTCCTTTTGTCTCCATTAACCGCAATTTTTCCTTTCTTACTTTCTCTTCCTTTTTCTTCGGATAATTCTCTCCTTTTTCCTCATATCTAAACACTGATTTCGTCTTCGCCGTCTTTTGCTTCTTCTCGTGAATTCAATTTCTCTGGTAAGTCTTCATAGGAAACATACTTTTTTGTTTTTTCGCCTACGTGAAAAATTGAATATATGGCTCGTAATGTGTACGTATAGGTGTGTAATTGTACTGTGTGTATTTGTAGAGAGAGAAAGTAGAGAGACAGAGAGCGAGATCGGCGATGGGGAGAGGAAAGATAGTGATAAGAAGGATTGACAATTCGACGAGCAGGCAAGTAACGTTCTCGAAGAGGAGGAATGGATTGTTGAAGAAGGCGAAGGAGTTAGCGATCCTTTGCGATGCGGAGGTCGGAGTCATCATCTTCTCCAGCACTGCCAGACTCTACGAATATTCTAGCACCAGGTGCTTTTCACTATCTCCTTTTTTTTTTATTTTATCAAATTTACTAATTTAATTTATTAAATTTTCAGAATTTTTAGTTTCATTTTTAATGTATGTAGATTAACAAGATCTGGGTGCTAAATAGTTTTCACCTTCCAATTTTGCATCTTACTAGTGTGTTTGACCTGGATAATGTGGCATAATAAACAGTTTAATACTTATACAGTTACTATTAAATTCAAATAGCGAGTGAAGTTCAAATCTAATTAGTAGGATGAGCTCATAATCCAAGAGTTTATGGTTCAAAATGCTTTGTTTAGATATGATGCTTAATTCCTTTTATTGCACGCTTTCTGTTTGTTATAATGTCAGTTAGTTTGTTTAATGACTGTCTTGTAGGATCTCAATCTGTAGGAAAATGTGCGGATAGTGAGTGAAGAGCTAGCTTAAGCTAAGTGACTTGTGTGATTAAGAGATTGTGGCTGTTTAATGTGGATAATGGAAGTAGTTGTGTCAGTAATGCTTTGAGAGAGTATACCATTGCTACTTGAACCTTCCTTTTAATGTTTATTAGCTTACTATTGAGGAGCTTAGTTTTATTGACTTCCAGAATAATATAGGATTTGAGGTTAGCTGGACTTGTAAAATTGGTGAAACTTCTACTAGTAATATAGCCACGCCTACTAGTTAAATATGCTATAGCTACAAGTATTCATGAAATAACGAACATGAACAAAGTCAAATTGACTCTAAAAAAGCAAAAATATTCATAAAGGATAATGCAAAAGGTACACTCTTCTTGCTTGCATTTTGATGCACAGTTGAACTCCCATTGTTACAACCTATATCTACATGAATAAGTATCCAAGAAGTGCTGCATTGGACTTAACAGGATCCGGATTTTGTGAAAATTAAAGGTTGCCTTAAATTATTCGGTTAGACGTGATATGCACAATAAGACTCGAGTACATAATAGATATTAATTAATATCAGTAGTACTTTTTCATTGATTAAAACATCTTTCTCCAAGGCAGAATCTTTACGAGTAGCAAGACCACCTAACTCCCATTTTCGACATCTTAATTTATTTATCCATTAATTACATACCTCTAATTGTGTTTCTTCGTGTTTCAAATATTAGGTAGATCTTGCTTATATCCATCTTTATGTAAAAAGAGCATCAAAAGGGGTAGATGTCTTACTCGTTTTGCTGAGATGCGGTCCATCAGACTCTGCAATTTCACATGAAAGGTAATCATCAAGAATACTACCTAAAAGGCTTAAACCCATAGTGCCTAATTAAGTTGATATGTGAGAATTACATTTGATTTGTTCAAGGCGGATCCATAACAGAAAATATACTATTCGCCAAGAGGATAGTTCAAGACATTTCACAATCAATCAAAGGTGGCAACATAGACCCCTAGAAGAAAATGTACTATTGGCACAAGAGGGGATAGTTCAAGACATGTCAGAACCAAACAAAGGTGGCAACATAGTTATTAAAGTGGATATGGCCAAACCCTATCACAGGATCTCTTTGCTTTTCCTTACTTCTGTGTTAAGGAGATTTGGGTTTTCAGAGGGATTTGTTGACATGGTATAGAGAGCTATATCTAATGTTTGGTACTCCATTTTCATTAATATAATGGATCCAAACAAGGGTTGTTCTCCGTCAAGCTGGATCTCCTTTCCCTTTCTCTATTCATACTGGGCTCTAAAGTTCTGTCCAAACTTCTCAACAAGCTAAACCAATTAGACAGATACATTTTTTTCTCCATGAACTGTAATGGCCATAAGGCGAATCATTAGCTCATTAGCTTATGCTAATGATTTTCAGTGGTGGAAATAGCAAGTCTATAAGGCTTGTTATGAAACAAGTGAGAAGATATGAAAGATCATCAGGCCAAACTGCAAACATGAAGAAGAGCTTCTTCCTCATAAATCCTAAAACCTCTAATTCATTACCAATGGAATGAGGAACACATTTGATTAAATAAATTAGGAATTTACATTCATATATTTGGGGTGCCATGTGAATGTTGGAAGGAAAAGGTTGTCACACTTTGATGATATGCTTAATTACCAAGATTATTGAGAGGTTAAATGGATGGAAAGGGACGCCGCTCTCATATGGAGGCAGATATATTCTTATCAAACATGTGCCCCATGCCATTCCAAAGTATACATTAGCGGCTATGAACCTGCAAAAGAGCACCTTTAGCCTAATGGAAAAGCATTTTGCGAGATTTTTCTAGGGAGCTGATTCAGAGAAATCTAAATATCATTGGGGTTCTTGGAATAAGTTAAGATCTAAATAAGAGGGTGGAATTGACATTAGGAAAATGGAGGATATTGAGGGTACTTTTTCCACAAAGAGATTATGGAACTTTAGAATAGACACTCTCATTGGGCAGATTTTCTAAGAGCTAAGTATTGCACAAGGGTACAACCCGTGGCTAGGAAAAAGTGCATAGGGCAGTCACATTCATAGAGAAAACTTATGGAGTTCAAGTAAAAAGAAGATGCCAGTATAGTATGGCATATAAGGAAAGGTAATAGCATTTTTGGTAGGATAATTGGATAGGTGTGATTTGGCAGAATGTTGCCCATCATCATCATCAAATATGTTAATAGAACGATTTATGGAGGGTAGGACATGGGATTTCTGGAAGCTCTATGAAGTTCTCCATTACCACTTGGTGCAATACATACCGAAAATTGGAATTTTTGATCCAAAACCTTCCTGGCTATGCTATTTGGATACCCCATTGATGGTCATTATTCTAATAGTTCGACATGGCAGAAAGTTGAGTATTTGGTCGGGAGGTGACTTTATCCACAAGGTGTGGCATAAAGACATCCTTTTTAAGATCTCGTTTCTTAATTGGAGACCATTACCATAAGTCTGCCTTTTGATGAAATAATTTCAACATTTGGTAATCAAATTGTGCCCAAGTGTAACTGTTGTAAAGTCTTCAAGTGTGAAACCGTTCCGCAAGTCTTTGTTGTAAGTGAGGCTGCACATTATATAAAAAATTATTATGGAGGATCACTGATCATTCAACACTAGTTCTTGTCCATAAGAAGGATCTTCAGGACATGGTGGGGTAAAAATAAAAAACTAGGTCCACAAGCCGTTACTTCAAATTGTACCACCGTCATATGTTTTTTCTTATGCCAATCACCCAGGCTAGCATGTCGTGGATTGTTGGGGGAGGGGGGAGGGGAGGTCGGCTTGACCCTTACCCCGTGTATTGATATATCAATATCATAAGAGAAGGCGGACATAAACCAAAAAACCTCCAGAAGTGCTATAAAAACAACAGAAGCTTGCCTCATGTTTGAGAAACACAGAGCAAGCAAAATCAAAAATTGGAAGAACTGTTATTATTGAGGACCTATGGTAGTAGCTCTTCCATGAAGATTCATGGAGGTTCGTAAAACCACCCTGAATTTTTCTTGGGCTTTATTCTAAAGGCTGGGAGATGTAATTTATCCATCCTAAGATCACCCTTAACATCAATCGGAAGATTGACTTCATTCTAGTAAATTCGTTTCTCAGTTATAGAAGTGGTATGTTTCGACAAAAAGTCTGCGACCTCATTGCCTTCCCTAAAGCAATGCTTGACTTTGATTGAATGTTGGTGGACTTTGGCTTGAATTTGAGAAATCTCTTCTTGGAACCTCCAGGGAATTTTGTATTTTCCCAGAATCATGTTCACTAGGAGAGGAGAAGTGTATCACTTTCTAATGTGAGATCTTGATATTGGTTATGACAGCACCATGTTATTCCTTGAAGAGCCGCTTGAGCTTCTGAATAATTGTTAGTGAAGAACGGGATAGGTGAGGCAAAGGCCATGACCATTTAACCATTTCTATTTCTAACAACGCCACCCGCTCCCGCTTCTCCTTGGTTTGCTTGGTAGCTCCCATCAGTATTAAGCTTCCGGGCGCTATCTCGTGGGAACTCTCAAATAACCATGGTGCTTGTCAATTGAGTTATGTAGTTCTCCACCACTTGGCATAACTTGTTCCAAGACCATTTCCAATCTACAGAGCTGTATTTCTGGCTCAAGGCTACTTTTACCTGAAACAACACCTGTTGACAAATACTAAAGATAGAAATAGGTTTATTACCATATTTTTATCACATCCGGAGTTCCATATTGCCTAGAATACTATTATAGGAGTATTATGGAGGAGAAACTTGTAAGCCACATTCTTTGCTTGAGTATTACACCACCTGTTAAGGTTATTGAGGATGTTCATTCCTCCTGGTTTGATGCCAAGTGGAGCTGAAATATTCCTCCAATCCTTTTTTGTTGTTTCACCTGAAGCAAATAGGTTATCTAAAAACTCCTCTGTAGGGGCCTTGCAACAAACACATCTACAAGTACTGTTAGAACCAAAATTAAAGTAATGTCATCAACAAGTAACCTATTGAAATTTTCAAAGTGCGGATGTTTATGTAAATATGGGAATAATTTTTTACTTATAATATAATGGATTTCGTATTTTTTGGTTCCTGAAAGCAACTTTGAGGATGTCCTTCCTAGTTGTGAGATGGATTTAAAATGGACAAAGAAGAGGTGAGGTAGTGAAAAAGTTGAGGCAGTTCCAAGGTGAAAGCAAGTGCAGTGGATCAAACCTTCCCCTGGGTGGATTAAACTGAACACAGATGGTAGTTTTTTGCATACTAATGGAAAGGAGGGATTGATGGAGTAGTGATGAATGCGTAGAGAGATTTGCTTTTACTTTCTTAGTTCCTATATAGTGTAACAATAATTATACGGCTGAGATTTCTGCAGTTAAGTTTGAATTATTATGGTGCATCCAACAATAATAAAGGATATTGTACTGGATTGGACTCACTCATATACTGTTACTAATTACTTAAGAAAAAGGAACAAATAATAAGACGATGAAGGCCAGTGTAAAAGACACTATAGTATATGCCAAGCTAATGTGGAGGTTCTTCATTGTTACATGGAAGCTAATCAAGTAGCTTCTGGTTATCT